CCTCCCGGCCCCTGCGGAACTCCAAACCCGGAGTGCGGCTCCTCCCCAGTGCTCCAGCTTCACACCACCCTCTCCTTGTGGGTGCAGGACTGGGGGAGATGGAGGGTGAGGAGCTGCAGCACCCCGTTCTCTGCAAAGGCAGAGCGAGCATGGGCGCGGTGTGGAATGTGAGAAACGCATACACACATGCACAGCGAGATCCTGCGTTCTGCGGCTTTGAATGCGTTTCACGGCCCCCCGGTGCACCCCAAAGTACCTGCTGGCCCCCAGCCTGAGATTCGATGGGGGGTTGTGCTTCACCCTATTTCACCTGGCAGCGGAAGGTACCCGCTGCCTGAGCCTGGCAGGAGCCGGCCCCACAGGGGATGCCTGTCCTCGGCCACCTCCATACCGGGAACTTAAGGTTTCCCGGTCCTTCGGCAGGAGTTTGGGGGCGCACGGGGTGCAGAGCCGGCAAGAGGGATGCTCCAATGCTGCGGGTGCTCTGGTCAGGAGGGAAAAGCCATGAGCTGCCCTGGGACGAAGCGAGGAAGTGTTTGGGAACCCCCGGCTACAGGGTGGCTCTGGGGAAGGACCTCGATGCACTTGTTCTCCCTTCGGTTGCATTATATTAACACCGATTTCTCTTATTTGGGGTCTTTTATCTACTTATTTTTATCGTGGTCGCGAAAAATTAAATTTAAAAAAAATCCAAGCCCGCTGCATCACAAAAATTCCCCCTCTCTCCAAAGCGGAAATAAAAAAAATTTAATTCTCCTCGAAATGCTTCTCGCGGCAGTGCCCTGGGGAGGGTTGATGACAACGAGCTCCGCTGCATTGTCCACAGGCAGGACCGGGCCAGTGCTGCCTATGGTTCACCCGGGTACAAGCAGAGAAGGAGGTTCGGAAAGGCATAGCACCACTGTATTAAAAAAAACCACCGCTGTAAACAACCCGAAATAACCTCAAAAATCCACCGTTTCAGCAGAGATGGCTGCAATGCATAAGTCGAAATGTGGTGTGTATAGTCTTTTTTTTTTTTTTCTTTCCTAGGCTTTTTGTTTTTCTGTCTGTCTGTCGGGGAAGCATCCCCGTCCCGGTGCGCCCCGTCGGGGTCGGGACGGGAGGTGGGAGATGCGACTTCTCCCCCACTTCTTGGAGACCCCACTCCCCGCCGGGAACTCGATGCTGTCGGTCGGATAATGGGGCGGTGGGACTTTGTTTAACCCCGCTGCCCCCGGGGCCAGGGGTCAAGGGCTTCCTCTTCCCCCGGGACATGGTAGAGAGGCCGTCGGTCACAACAGGAGGACCGCGGCGGGGAGGGGGATGTGACGGCCACAATGTTCCCCCCGCCCCGCCGCGGCCCTCACGTGCGATCGGCGTTGGACCCCGTAAACCTCCATGTCTCCCCGGCGTCGAGAGGTTGAGGAAGGCTCCAGGTGGGTGTTTTGGGGGAACAAGAGGCGGTCAAACATCAGCACGGGACAGAGGGGCATGCGAAGAAGCGGCCCCTGCCCTACAGCAACCCCGGCTCTGCCTTCCCCTCCCAGCTGGAGCAGGACGTTTTTACCGGAGTGCCGGTTTTATCGGAGTTTCACCCCCTCCCTCCACAGGCAGAGATACCTCAGCTGCCCCCCCGGAGCCAAGAAACGGGAGAGAAACGGGCAATTTTTATAGGTGACGTACGGGCTTACGTGAGAATCCGTGCCCAGCACTGCTCTTTCAGTTTTTTTCTCCTGAAATAACCCTTCCGTGCAGCTCGCACCCCCCTATTCCAGCTCGCACCCCCTTTTCCAGGCTGGGGGGAAATCGGGAGAGGGAGAAGCGAAAGGGAAAAGAAAAGCATCCCCCAATATCCCGTTTTTTTCCTGCTCGGGCAGCGAGCCCCGGAGCTCCCAAAGTGAGCGGCGAAGAGGGCGACGGGAGACGGGCGGGAGCCGGCTCCTAGGTGGAGGGGTCGGGGGTGGGATGAGAATAGGGGAGGACCGTCCTTTTCGGGATCAAGGGAGAACCAGCGAGGGAAGGAGGCTGGCGGCACCACAGGCATCCGAGGTAAGTCCCTCTCCCTCCCGCAGCGGTGGTACCTCAGCCCAGGCGCTGCTGCGGGGGATGCTTTGAGGGTTCAAAGGAGCCCGATCCCGGGGGATGCCCATCCCCGGGGATGCTCCGTCCC